AAAAAAAAAAAAAAAAAAAAAGTTATTTATTATTATTATTTTTGGGTGTTTGTGAATGGGCTTTGCGCTCACGTCCCTTTCATGACCATGAAGCATGGGAATATATTTAGGGTTTTGGTTTTGATGTTGCTTTTCATGTATTCTTCTCTCAAATTCCAATATTTTTATTTTATTTTATTATTATTTTCCTCAATAAACTTAAAATATTTTATTTCATTACTAGTTATTAAACATTGCATAAAGTTCGGGCAACAATTAAATTTAATTTTTTCATATCAAACGCTCGTCACATCTCTATAAAACAAACATCTATTTTTCACTCATTTAATTTTAACTTATAATTTTTGTTCTCGAGTTCTACCATTTCAACCCTCTTAAAATTCCGATAACGCGTATTTATATCTCATTTGAAAATTTCGTAGAATATTTTATATATATTAAAGTAAGGTAAAGCTCTCTCAAGACGCCACGTGTTAAAACGGGTTTAAAATCCAATAATAATATTAATATTATTATTTATACTCAATTATTGGACCTAATTTTATTTACACATTCGGCCCAATGGACCGTACAGCCACCGTACTTATTCCATTTCACCACAGTAAATGAACGCCGATGTACGCATTTACCCCTCACCTCACGTAACGCTGCCAGAATTCACACATAAGAGGTAAATATTATAAATTTTAATTATAAAATGATTATAATTTCAATTATTGATGACTGATTTTTTTTTCTAATTTATATTTAATGATTATTTATAAATATTTGTATTGATTGTATTGATGTGAGAGGTTTCACTTGGATAGGAAATATAATATAAAGTTTTTTTTAATTAATTATTTTATTAGATATACAAAAATATGCATTGACCATAGGAATAATGATAAATAATAATAATATAATAATAATAAAAATAAAATGTCAATTAAATGTCATAAAAGCTGCATTACCATCCATGTCCCCTATCAAATCAAAACAGGTATTGTCCTCCTCCTTCATTTAATGCCCATTTATTTACCTTCCTCTGTCATTTTTTTTAACCCCGGCTATGCTTTTTTACCCTAAGCTTATCTCTTCAAATTTACCTTTTACATTTTACATTATTTTATATCTTTTTTCTTTTTCTTTTTTGTTATATAAAACAAACATATTTTCCTCTCTATTTTTATGCAAAGAGGAGACACAAAGTGGGATGGTTGGATAAAAGGATAAAAGGGGAAATTATGTGGGCCTTTATTCGAGTAAGGTCAAAGTCAAATATTATATTCTTCGACCCGTTATTTATTTTTTATAAATTTTATTGTCAAATGTTGGGCATCTTATTAGCTTGTTAACGTATCATCGTCAGTATCACAATTTTAAAACACGTCTTTTAGAGTTACGCAGCGGAATCGATACTCATCTAGATACTATTCTCTTTGAACTTTTTCTTCTGGGCTTCCCTATTACGCGTCTACTAAGGGAGATGTTTTCACACTTTGATAAGAAAACATCTTATTAGCCTGTTACCTATCATCGTCAGTCTCACAGTTTTAAAACGTGTCTTTCAGAGTTACGCAGTGGAACCAGTACTCATCCAGATATTGTTATCTTTGGGCTTTCCTTCTAGGCTCCCCCATTACGTGTCTGCTAGAGAGAGGTTTCGACACCCTTATAAGAAATTTTTTGTTCCCCTCTCCGTTCGATGCTGGATCTCACATTCCACCTCCTTGGGGTCTAGCGTTCTCGCTGGCACATTGTCCAGTGTTTGGCTCTGATACCGTTTGTAATAGCTCAAGCCCACCGCTAGTAGATATTGTCCACTTTGGCTCATGATGTATCGTCGTCAGCCTCACAATTTTAAAATACGACTACTAGAGAAAGATTCTTAATACATGGTAAATTCTAAAATTTTTACCTATATATATATTTATTATTATTTTTGTTAATTGAATAATATTTTGAAAGTAGGTTAGGGCAAATGGGCTTATGGTTAAAGGCTAGTTGAAATAGGCCCAATACAAAAAAGTATAAATATTATTTTAAAAACTTTTTAAATTTTAGATTTATTATTAAAACTATATATTTATTTATGATATTTTTAAGCGAATTTCTGGCTGGCATGAATCATGAATGTTTGGAATTGGATTTAACTTTTATGAAAAACCCTAAGCCCCTCTGGACCTGTCGGGAAAAGCAGGGCTTCATTTTCTATTTTCTAGATTTTTGGAAGCCCGATCTCCCGATCAACGCACACTCGCCAGCTTCGTGCTTCTGATTTTTGCTCGGTAATGCTCTCTCTTTCTCCAATCCTTGCTTCTCTGCTACTCATACTATTTCCTGGATTTTGCGTTTCAATTTTAGGAATGTACTCGATTTTGGCAAGTTCTGACGTTGTTTGAGCAAGGAAATCATTGCGTTGTTTGATTTGGAGTTGAGTTGATACGTAGACCTTCAATTGTGTGTCTGATTTGTGATGAATTGATGAATTGATGAATTCATGAATTCATGAATTTTCTCCCTTATTTCTCATCTATTGTTGTGATGGAGAGGAGTTTGTCATTTTTTTCCTCTCTGGATTCTGGTTGATTGATTTTAAAGGTCTTTGTTGGTTAATTTGCTTCAGATTGGAGTTGCTTTGTGATGAAAAAGGCTATGAAATGGAGTGATGAAGAGGACAAGTCGTCATCTATAGAGTCGTCTTTATCACAGTCGGATTCAGACGCTGATGAGGATAGTGGCGAGAATAAAAGCAAACTTTCGAGTTAAAGCTGGTTGGTCCTCTAAAGAAAAAGACACTGGAGGTTATAATTGCTTTCCTGGGAATATTTCTAGTACTCCTCAATTTGACATTTTAATCTTAAAGCTTCATGGAATCCATTTAATCGTTTGTCTCTCTGTTTTGCGTTTTCAGTAAATAAAGCAAACCGTATTATGTCAGAAAGTAATGTAAAAAGTAATCCATGCACTGATACGAGGGTCTTCCCTACATGCTACATTTTGTTTGAAAAGCATATCCTAGCTTTTGGTCTGAGTATATACTCTCAACTGTTAGCTTGATAGAATATAAGATGGAAGTCATTGGTTATGTCTTACAGTTATGAGTATGTTAAGTTTTCCCGAGTTCATTTACGTTGAATTGATCGGATTAAGCTCGCTTAAACGTATATACAAATGCATAACTTGTTTTGGTTTATTTACTAATATTGAAGAAACTCTCTTCAAATAGAAAGAAGACTTTTGTGTGGCCTTTTGACTAATATGGGAAGAGTTGGGATTTTAAATGTATCTGTGGCCTTTTAAATATTCTCAATCTTTAAGTCTATTGAACATGGAGGGGCTAGTGGCTTGGATGTGAACAAAAGAAAACAACCAATTAAATGTAGTTCAATGCGGTGTAGTATTTGCAACATCTCTATATTCTAAATATGATAAAGAAGGCAATTTGCTTCTTCATTTCTCTGTTGATGTTATTACATGTTTACAGGCAAATCTGGAAAGCAGAAGAGCATTGCTGTGGACTTTGATACACTGAAACGCCACGGCTACAAAGGCGGTCCATCAATCTTGTAGCTGCCTATAAAAACAGCCCAAGCCCATCTCTAGTAGATATTGTCCACTTTAGCTTGTTACGTATTGCCGTCAGCCTCACGGTTTTAAAACACATCTACTAGGGGGAGATTTCTACACCCGTATAAAGAGTGCTTCATTCCACTCTCCAACCGATATGGGATCTTAGAATGCCACCCCTAGAAGAGAATGAGAAGCAAGATTGGTCACGGTCTACTGGTAGGAAGACTCGGGAAAACAGAGACACTGAAGAATCGTATGAAGAGAGACAGAAAACAAGAGCTGCATTCGAAAATAGAGAGCAGCTGCTAACCGTGCAAACTCGGGAGGAGAAGAATAATGTTTCCTTCTCCCAGAAGGAAAAGAGGAAAAGAGAGCCCGGTCGGGCAGGCAGGGGGGAAAGGCTATGTAGAGAAAGAAAAGAGAATGTTGAGGGAATGCAAACCCATGCAATCAGCTGTTCTAACAAAGCATTCACATGAATGCAAATCCATGCAACAAACAAAATATAATTACAGGTTCACATTTCATTATTCAGTATTTGATTCAAGTTCAGACTATAAAACCTTGAGAATTGTATTCTGTGAATCAATGAATTCTTCTATAATGGATCATCTGTTTGCCAATGTCTTCTCCCAGTCCCAACCATCTTCATCTGCAAGTAAATGGCAGGCATAGTGAATGGCATCGAGAAACTAAGGACCACGAGGCTTGCCGAAGCAGAAACAACGAGATGCCTGGTCTTCGGGTATCATGCCACCTCCCTTGCTTGTATCAATGGCTTCCAACAATTTTACAACCTCATCCATGTCAGGTCGCCTTTCTGGATTTGCATCCCAACATCTTCTCATGATATTTGCCAAGGAACTCGGGCAACATCGAGGGATTTCTGGTCGTAAATTCTGTTGCAAAGAGTGTTTATATTTATGGTGTGAAGAATGAAAAGTCACAACCTTTAGAAGAAATCAACATACCTGCTGCACAACTGCAGATGAGACTTCAGCAAAACTGAGATCTGGGTAAGGCATATCGCAACAATATGTTTCCCACAAACATATACCAAAACTATACACATCACATTTACGATTATAAGGCTTGCCATCAAGGACCTGTAGAAGAAATCTTGTCAAAATTACAATTCAAATGAGAATTGGATCTGTTAAGGTCAAGCATTCTATGACTAAGAAACCTCTGGGGCCATGTAACCAAGGGTGCCAGTCTCTCCAGTCATATCCCTTGGGTTCTGTGCTTCGACTCGGGCGACGCCAAAATCAACGATTTTCAGAGTCTTCTGAGCATCTAGCAGCACATTTTCTGTTTTGATATCACGGTGTACAATCTTTTTGGAGTGTAGATAGCTCAAACTGCAAGATCAAAATATGCAATAGCCTCAAAACTCAAATCCAAAACATTGGCATATTGGAATGATTTGTAAATGTTTACTTACCCTCTAGAAAGATCCAAAACAAGTTGAATTACAACCTTAAGTGCAAGTTTCTTTTTCCTATTTTTTATTAAAAATCCCTTTAGTGTTCCTCCTGGAAGATACTCAACAACAACGCAGCAAGCCCTTGAAGGAAAAGATTGGTTACCATCACTTGATGAGTTTTGTGAAGGGATTTTAAGGTTGTACGTCCCCATTGATGCTCCAAAAAACTGCATGAGAAACGTTATGTTATTATTTGATCCTCACATATCAAGCACAGTGAATAAATAAAACGAAAATTTCTCTCTAGCAGACACGTTTTAAAATTTTGAGGGGAAGCTCGGGAGGAAAAACCCAAAGAGGACAATATCTGCCAGTGGTGGCTGGGGCCCTTACAAATGGTATCAAATCTAGCCATCGGGCGATATGCCAACGAGGAGGCTATACCCCGAAGAGGGGTGAACACCATGCAATGTGCCAGCGAGGACGCTGGGCCCCGAAGGAGGTGAATTGTGAGATTCCACATCGATCGAAGAGGGGAACGAAGCATTCTTTATAAAAGTGTGAAAACCTCTCTCTAATAGACGCGTTTTAAAACCTTGAGGGAAAGTCCGAAAAGAAAAGCCCAAACAAAATCCACTAGCGGTGGACTTACATAAAGTTAAAAACAAGAACTCCAGAGAACGAAAAAAAAAAACTAAAAACTAAAAACTAAAAATTTTCAGCTGGAGCAACTTGAATGGATTCTTATTCTGAACGTTAGGTTAGAGGTCGAATCATGCCGATGAAACAACTTATACTTTGAAGCATCTAAACATTTAGAATAGTGTAAGAATCAAAGGTAAAGAATCACATCCATCTCTGTTAGCATAATCTCTAAGCTGTTTAATGAAAAAGTAGAGAACAGCATCACAATAAGAATGAATGGTTTGATTTGTTTGACATAGTATAATACCATAATCTGCATGTAAACGCCTTCAGAAGTCGTACCTTTGCAACATTGGGATGGTCAAGCTTATGCCAAACAGCAACTTCCTGGCGAAAAGATGTTCGAAGAGCAGCAATTTCAGCGACTGAGGAGACACCGTCCTCCCCCCAATCAAGCACTTTCACTGCAATATTCAGAATATCACCATAAAAGCTATATACAAAGCAAGAACTCTTGCTATAGTCTTTTATGTGTGGAGCTGAAATTACTTCCAAAATGTTATCAATTCTATTGTATCTCGATCAGATTTAAGGTAAACTAGAATCTAAACTAGCTACAACATCGGTTGAGGAAAACTAGAATCTAAACTAGCTACAACATCGGTTGAGGAGAAGAACTAAGCATGATTTATACGGGTGTGGAAACTTTTTCCTAACAGACGCGTTTTAAAAGCCTTGAAAGGAAGCCCTGAAAAGGAAAGCTCAAAGAAAACAATATATATGTTAGCGGTAGGCTTGGGCTGTTACAAATGATATCAAAGTCAGACATTGGGCGATGTGCCAACGATAAGGCTAAGCCTCGAAAGGGGTAGACACGAGGCGGTGTGCCAGCAAGGACGCTGAGCTCTGAAGGGGGTGGATTTGGGGGGTCCCAATTGATTGGAGAAGAGAACGAGTGCCAGCAAGAATGCTAGGCCCTGGAGGGGTGGATTGTGAGATCTCACATCGGTTTGGAGAGGAGAACAAAACATTCTTTATAAGGGGGTGGAAACCTCTCTCTAGCATAGACACTTTAAAAATCTTGAGAGGAAGTCCAAAAGGGAATGTCCAAAAAGAACAATCTCGACTAGCGGTGGGTTTGAGGTGTTATACTATCACCTTCAAAAAGTTGCATATGTGAATATAAAACTACCTGCAGGGATGATTTGGCTAATAGGTACATGCAAACAAGAGGACGGGAAGAAAAAAAAGGCATTATTCACAACTAAATCGAACAAAGATGGACCCTCTTCATCAATTGAGAACTGTTCATATCTAATGTTCATCTACACAACGAAAAATACACTAAAAAGAGGCTGAAATTACCTGCAACATCATTGCCATCATAATTTCCTCTGTAAATGGTACCAAAAGTTCCATGAGCTTTGACGTATCTGATATCAAGTTTAGACAAGTCAATCTCCCATTCTTCCTTTTTGGCAGGCACTTCCCTGTCCCTCGACCAAGCCCTGCTCAAGTGCTTGTCCAGCTGAATATCCCAATTCTTGAAATCAATCTTATCCGCTCGAAAAACCATATCCTTACTGCTTTTGCTTCCTGTCTCCAATTTTGAACCCAGATCCTTCTCTCCGGGATTACTAGTCTTACCGGAAACAATGTCCGCCACTTGATTACCGGAGTTCTTACCCGCCGGAGCATCACTGGCCTCGCCCGCATTTACTAAATCCATGTTTCAATACTTATGGACAGATAGCTTGAAAGTAAAGAGGAAAAAAGAAACAAAGGAAGTCTAAACCCACTGGGGACTTTTCACAAACACATAGAAGGCATAAAAACCAGACCAAGAAATTTGTTCAAAAAACTTGATGAAGATGAGTAGAAGAAAAAAATCAATGAGTATATATATATATATATAAATAAGAATCAACTACGGAATTCAAACGCTAAGTAAAATAATTGAGTACTGGAAGATTAAAATCTCGATAAACTACGAACTGTTCGAGGCAGCCCACGAACCAGAGAGGTGAAAACTGCAAAATTTGATCATCATCGATCAGATTCTACAAATTCAGGCGATAAAACAGCCCGGAGAATCCGACCCAGATGAAGAATTGCAAAGAATCGTAAAGAAAACAATGATAATCAGAAGAAACAAAGCAAAAACGTCGACGGAAGTCAAAACTAATACCGAAAACAAAAGAAACAGAGAGAACAGAGAGAACAGAGAGACAATAGTGATGAAATGAATTGGTGGAAGAAAAGAAGGGCGCGTGGTGGGTTTTGTGGACAGCAATTTATAGAGGAAAGAATTGGAAAGTACATTGAGAGAATCAGAACAAAAGTGGATTGATGGGGCATCGCAAAATCGATTAAATGGAAAATTGGGGCAAAAAAAAATGGAGATTTTTAATTAATTAATATTAATTATTATTATTTTTTCTGAAAAAGATGAATAATTAATGGAAATTCTTTCAGATTTTTGAATGCCAAAACAAAAAGAACAACGAAGAACGAGGCCGTTTGATACGCCACGCTTTGCCTTCAACGGATTTAACGGTATTTGATTTTATTTTGGTTTATTAATTAATTTTGGATGTGTCGTACAAAATTCGGTTTGTTTAGTGAAATTCCGAAAATGACCCTATTGTTATATTCATCTTTATTATTACAAATATTTTTATAAAAGTAAATATTGTATTATTAATAATAAAATGACTTAATTGTCCTTTTTATTTAAATAATTTGGTTGAATAAGAAATTTGGGTCAATTTCGTTATTTATAAATTAATGATGATGTCACGTATTATTAAATTGGGACCAATTATAAATTGACGTGTAACAAACAAAATGAAAGCTTTAGTCATCGGGTATAAAAGTCAAGTTTGAGATGAGGTTTTTGTTCTTCGACTTGTTTCTTTCAGCTCATTTGCAATCATTTTGCGTCATGTGATCTTTGCCTTTCACTATACCATTGCCCGTCCTCCTTTTAACCTTTGACCACAACGTCTTCATTCTCCATCGTTGTAATGCTAGTACCATCGTTCTTTGCTGCACGAAACTTTTAGAGTAATCGCTGTAACATGACGTGTAGCATGGTAAACTTCGTTGTTGTTATCTTAGATTTCTATCACTGCAACGTAGCATTGGGTGCAATGATCTTCGTTGTTTCCATCTCGAATTCATATCACTACAGTGTGACTATTGACGTGGTGCTCTTTATCATTGTCATTTCGAGTTAGTATTGTTGTTGCTTGTTTTTCGTGCAAATGGCGAGGAGGTCATCACAAGGGTTGCGTTAAAGTCTCGATTTATCTAGTTTTTGAATGATTTTATGTTCCTCAACGACGCACGTTAAAAATTAACTTACAAAGTGGGTGAGGGGTATAAATGGAATTTGACTAAAAAAATGGATCCTAAGCATATTCTTTTTTTTTTTTTTGACAAAATTTGGATTATTCAAGCATAATGCCTCCAAAATTCATATCCTTTTAAATCTTTTATTAACCTTTTCTTTTATTTTTAGAGAATTTTTTTAAAACTTTTCTAGAAGCGTGAATTTGGACCTCAAAATTTTATTCTAAAAAATTATATTTATTGGATTCAATCAGTTATAATTTCAGGTCACATTAGACTTTTATGAAATTTAACCGTTTCGAAGAATTCATTCAATGATTGATCTTGTTCATTTATTTATTAAGAGTTCGATTTATGTGAAAGTTATTGGACTTTGGATCATTTTTAAGTTACATGTCTAGATGAATGTATCGAAAGTCTAGTATAAGCTAAAATTGTAACGCTTATCCAAATTTAACGATCAGATTTGATGAAATAGAAAATTTTGGGAAACAAAATAAATTGACCTACCTACCAAAATTGATTTTTTAAATATAAAAAAGGTTTAAAATGCAAACAGATAAACAACACACCTACTACCATTAATAGCAAAGTATCAACCTAATCTCAGATATTGTCCTCTTGAATTTTTCCTTTCAGGCTTCTCCTCAAAATTTTTAAAATGTCTCTTACCACCAAATAGAAAGAACCCTTAATGAATGATGTCATTTTCATTCATGGATTATATTTAATAATGGTCAAATAGTAACAACATGCGCCATCAATGACATTTTTCGATGTGGAATCCGATAAAAGAAAGTCCAAATAGAATAATATTTATTAGAGGTGGACTTGGGTGACATAAGTAATCCATAATATGGTTGAAAAAATGGGAAAGTTTTGGATGAAAATGAAATTCATTAATTTTCACAATATTCTAATCATTCAAGAAATGAGATGAATTAAAAAAACATGTTTATCAAATAAATGATCTAAAACGAAGAACGGAACAACTCAAACCAGCTCAACTTTATACCTGAGTCAGCAAATTTCAGAATCTAATCCATTGGGTCGGTTTTAAAATCTCTTTTTTAAGAAAAAAAATATGTATGAAGACATTTTGATGA